GCTGCTGCTGCAGGTTTTGCTGCGCTACTTGCATGCAGTATAGGCAGCGAATGTCTTGAGACGATTTGTTTTTATTTATTGGGGTTTGGGTATTTATACTGTCTCTATCAGCCTATTTGCAGCTGTTCTAGCTAGCTAGCTAGCTAGCTAGCTAGCTAGCTAGGTAACTGAGTAGCTAGCTGGCTAGCTGGATAGGTAACTGACTAGCTAGCTAGGGATCGAACTAACTGACTTGCTAGCTAGCTAGCTAGCTAGCTAGCTAGCTAGCTGAGTAACTAACTAGCTAGCTACGGTGCTACCTAGATGCTTAACTAACTAGCTGGCTAGCTAACTGACTAGCTATCTAGCTGGCGTGGCTTACTAGCTAGCTGGTCAGCTAGCTACCCAGCTAGCTAGCTAGCTATCCAGCTAGCTGGATGGCTAGCTGGATAGCTAGCTGACTAGCTACCGAGCTGGATAACTAACTGACGAGCTAGTTGGTTAGCTAGCTAGCTAAGTGGCTAGCTAGCTGGCTAGCTAGCTAGCTGGCTAGCTACCCATCAAAAAAATAAAAACAGGAAGACAAAAGAAGCCACTGATAAACAAAAAAAATAAAAAAAAACAAAAAAAACACCGAAGACAACAAGACAAGCGGGGGAGCAGCCAGCAGCAAACATACAAAATAAAAAAAGAAGAAATGAGTAAATAAATAAAAAAAACAACAAATAAATAAATAAAATAATAAAATAAAACAATAAAACAAACAAAACACGCAAAGAATCAGCGTGACACCTCAACCACCGAGCATAGGCAAAAGGAACAGATAAAACAAGGCGCTAGGGAAATAAAATAAATAAATTAAATTAAATAAATAAATAATATAAATAAATAAAATAAAAATAAATAAATAAATATACAAATAAATGAAGAAATTCATCTCCAGCTACACACGAACGAGCACACTGTCATGGGGGCCCCCGGGGGGCCCCCAGGTTTATTTTTATATATTTTTGTTTACTTTTGCTGATCTTCTTTTTATTTATTTGTTATAATTATAAAGAAAAATACAAAACTCCTCGAACAGCAGCAATAGGGGCCCCTATACAAACAAAACCCCCCTATATGTTTCTCTGTTGCTTGGGGGGCCCCCCAGCAAGCAGCACACAAAGGGGAGAACAGCAGCAACTGAACCCTTTTGGGGGCCCCCTATGCATGCAGAGGCCCTTCTCGACGAAGGGGGGCCCCTGGTGTG